GGGCCCTGGGCCAAAACACCATCGCGAATTTTAGCATGAGCCTCGGAGATCGGCACTCCTCCCCTTCCAGAAGCGTTTCCCGCAGCGCGGGACAATCAAGGAGGAGGTGGCCGATGGGCTCACATGGGGCGCCGCGCCCTCTGCGCTCTGGGTCGGGCACGTACCCGGCCGCGTGCAATCTGTCTTTCAACCGCCATGAACTGGCCCGCAGGGATCTGGCTATCCCCGCTGGCTTCGCCGTCCTGGGCGCGGCCCCTCTGGGCCCGGCCGAAGCTCGGACCCCGCGGGGCCGCGACTCGCAACTGCCAGGGGAAGCTGGATAATGGGCCTGGATCCTACGCATCTGCCACCTCTGAATGTCCGCTCGTAGCAGCTGCATCATATGATGAGGGTCGATATGCAGCAGCGAGAACCCCCCCTCGTCAGAGCGAACCAGACTCGCAGACTCCGTCGCCCAATCGACGCAAAACAGAGACAGGCCAACGACCGCCATGGGCCCCGACGCATGCCACCAGGTGAACGTCTCTGCTCGCTTGTCTGCTAAGGCCCTCCAGGCCCTCTCAAGCACTCCGAGCGAAAGTCTGCGTCAACACAACGTGGGCATAGTGTTAAAGGGCCCAATCGTAGCCTGAAAAAAACGGATCGTACCAAAGGTCGGGCTGCGTCGCCAGGTCGACCGACATGGGCCCGCGCCCCCCCCCCCCCCCCCCCGACCCTCGGCGCCCACGAGAGCCGCCGCAGCAGCTCGGCGCCTACGGAGCTCGGTGTCAGTGGCGCCCGACACCGCGCCGCAATGGCTAGCCCAGGGAGCAAACCAGTCCTTCATAGCCTCGAAAGCTTGTTCCCCGCCGCCTTGCGCAGTGGGTGCGTCCTACGCATTCGGATCCTGAGCTTTGCAAGTCGAGCTCTGGCGTTCGGTATCCTCCGATCTCGCCCCGACAGCTCATGTCCTAGGTTGCGCATGTTGCGTTTCACCTCGAGTCTAGCTGCCCCCGCCCGACGGCGCGAAGCATGGCGGGCTGCGCGGCCGCCGGCAGAATATCCTGACTTGCCCGGCGCTGAGTCCTGCAGCACAATGCCCAACTGCATCGCGTCTGCCTTAAAATTGGCCAGGGCATTCCACAAGTCCCCCCCCCCCTCCCCCCCGCGCCCCGGCCAACCGCTCCCCCGCCCACTGTGTCGTAAGGTCGTCTACCAATGCTCTTGGCGCGACCCTGCGCGGCCGAACCCTGCGCGCGCCGCGCAGCGTGAGGGGTGCGAGGAGAGAGGTGGAGTGGGAACAGCCTGCGAGGAGCCCTTGCCATGAGACGAAGGGCTCGAAGTGCGAGGCAAAAGCCTTCAGCGCTCGCGGCTGTCGGTGGTGCTCAGGCGCCATCCAAACCAGCCGCAGAGGAAATCCATGATGTCGGGCTTCGTCGAGCACCTCGCCAGAGCTCATCGATTCATTGCGCTTCCAGGCGTCGACGGCCGCCGTGGCCGTGCGCCGCCCAAGCAGCGCCGCCGTCTCCGAATGACAGACTGTGTTCAAACGCAGCGGCTGTCGAGCTCCGTCCAGCGCCACCTGCGCCCCAGACTTCGCTCACCCCCGTACCGACGACCCACTGCTTGGATAATGATGCTGCGCGCCCGTGCCCGCAGCCTGACCAACGAGTTGACGAGTGCAATCAATCGAGATCCTCTTCCTTCCTTGGGCAGCCTGACTAACGTAGTATATGTGCGTTTGTCTGGCCATCGCCCCAAACACTCGCATCTGCCGCAGAGCCTCGCCAAGACGATGCACTCATCATCTGACGCGTGTCGTGGAGCCCGCGGCGATATATTCATCTGCCCGACCGCCGTTGTCTCCTTAAACTTGAGGCGCGCCGAACGCAAGCAATCCACCGATATCGCGGGTAGCTGGTCCCACGTGTGGAAATACGAGGGTCCGTGGAACTGCGTGAGCCCATGCGTGGTCCAAATACCTTTCCACTTGCGCAGCTCTCTGTCGACTAACTGGTGTGGGCCCCCCAACGTGGCTTGGTCCAGCACCGCCTGCAGCACGTGCGCACGAGTACAGCGATGAACCATGCTAGCACCCTTTTCCAGAGACTGGCGAGCTCAAGTCTTCCAAGCACTGGATTGTTCACGTTCGGACCACTTTTAAAACAACTTCCGTGCACTCATCCGCTGTGCCATCCAACCAGACCTCAATCTCTCGCTTGAGGAAAGCCAGGAAATCGTCTGGGAGCAACGGCATCAATGGTGACCGACGTACCTTGCTATAAAATCGCAGCAGCTCGCCCGCGATCTGCAACGGCTGCGTTGTTTGGGTCGTCGCATCTCCACACACAACATTCGACGCCACGAGGTTCTGAACCCTGTGACAAAACAGCTGCCATGTATGACGTCCATGCTTCAGCCACCTAGCCGCTAACTGCAACGCCGCCGTCTCCTTGCTCTGGTGCGTACGTCGCCGCGGTGGGTTCCACTCCAGCTTGGACAAGGCAAATTCGACGGGCCGCCCTCGCCCAGCATGTGAGACACGTTCACGTGGAGCATGGTACCACCTGTCCGACATCTCGCACGCAATGCCATGAATCACCTGATCCCGTGCCCGCTGACTGAAGCCCGGCTTGGTCCTTCGCCTCTTCCACAGCACCGAGAGCCACCTGCCACTCGACGCACCGAGGGAAGCGCGCACATCCCATTGGAACCCTGGACCAACAGCCACGGGGCTCACATGGGAACCTTCTGCACTGCATCGGCCTCCTCAGCCTGCGCGCCGGAATTGCGCTGGCGATCTGCTGCCCAGTCTGTGTTCTGAACTGCGGACTGCGTCAGCTTACTGTCTAGCTGGAGCGCGGTTTCGTCGCCGGAGTTCGAGGACAGATCCTCAGCGCGCAGCTCCAACTTGCCATTCGAAACCTTGACGGCGGGCGGCGCCATCATCACCTTCCCCATTCATGCTGCACGTCGCGAGCCGCGACGACTCCAGGGCGAACTTCGCCTCCAGGAGCGGCGATATCATGTGGCCACTCTCGTCTGGAGTCTCGCCTGCGCCCTGCATCTCCTCCAAGATGGGGTGCACCTGCTGGGACTCGCTGCTGGGAAATTCCTCAGAGAAGAGGCGCTGGACCTGCTGGACACTTTCCGCCGCAAGCTTTTCGCAATCCTCCTTCACCTCCGCCTGCAGCGACGCATCAATGAAACTCTGCACCTGCAGGGCCTGCTGGGATTTGTGCGCGGTGAGCGTTGTGTAAAGCTGCAATATCGACACCTCCAGTTCAGCCGCGATGAGGGCCTGCACCTGGTCTAGGTTCTGCACCTGATCCTGTAAGGTGCCGTCCTGCTGGCCCTCCTGGACCCCTTGATCGTCAGGGCGCAACTCGATCTTGGCCTCCTGGAGATCCACCTGGACTTCTGCCCTGTCGAAACTCACGTCGCCCTCGAACTGCATCTCGAACTCCTCCCCTCGGGGCGCGGGGGCCGTGAGGTGCAGCAGGAGCTCCTCCGCCTGCTCACTGCTCACGCCCTCCTGCAGCCCCGCCGGGAATGGATCGATTGCCGAGGCCTGCGCAGCACGCGGGGCCCGCGGCAAGGCCGCCAGCCCGCTGGGGGGAAGGGGGGGGGGGCGAGGGGCGGGCCCAGCTGGCCAGGCCGCCGATCTCCCTCGCCCCCCATCGCCTTCTGGCCCATGCCCAGCGGCTCCGCCACCGCGGCCAGGCCCATCAAGGAGGCAAGGTGGCCCCCCCCCCCCGGCGTCGGCCAGCCCCGCGACGTGGGCGCCCAACGACCGCCGAGGGATGGCGGCCCTGCGGGCGAGCGTTCGCGCGCCCACGGCGCGCCGGCGCTTGAGTGGGGGCCGACCGTCTGGGCATTCCACTAGGCCTACCGCGACATGTTCCTAGAACCCCAAAAAGTTCCGAGCACAAAAGCAATGTTCTTCGAGCGTCAAGCGGGCGTGTCAAGACAAGACGGTCTCGGCCAGCAGTGTTCTGATGACGCCTCGCGCAGACGTTCTCAGAACATTTTTGGTGGGCCCATACTCCGAGCTGCTTAAAAAGGGTCGGGAGGGCGTCACCCCCGCCGACAGCCCCACATCGACCCCCGTCGCGGGCAGCCACCGAGCGCCGATGGCGCTCCGACCCCCGTCGCGGCGCGACGACTAGGCGAGGTTGACCCCCGTCGGGGGGGGGGGTACCCCCCCACGCTTATTCAGAAAGCCAGAGTAGGCAAGCCAAGACGCTTCGCCACTGCTCGAAGCACGAGCGTGCCACTTGTGCAGCAACCGGCGCGCGAGCCGAGCGTCCTCGCCGACGACGCCGCCCGTTGCTTGGCGCCTCTCCCATCTGGGCCTCTTGCGCGCCTCTTGCGCGCCCTGGGAGCGCCGCGGGAGGGGCTCTCGGTGCCCGCGGCTCCTTCGAGCCAAATAGGGCTTCGGGGGAGCGAGGAGGAGCGAGGGGGAAGAGGAAGAGGAGGAGGAGGAGGAGGAAGAGGAGGAGGAGGAGGAGGAGGAAGAGGAGGAGGAGGAGGGCGGATGAGGGGGGGGGAAGGAGGAGGAGGAGGAGTAGGGGAGGAGGAGGAGGAGGAGGAGGAGGAGGAGGAGGAGGAGGAGGAGGGAGGAGGAGGAGGAGGAGGAGGAGAGGAGGATGGGGAGGATGAGGAGGAGGTGGAGGAGGAGGAGGAGGAGAAGAAAGAGGAGGGGGAGGAGGATGAGGAGGAGGAAGAGGAGGAAGAGGTCATGGGGGGCGACGTGAAAGGGGGGTGACAAGGGGGAATTTCGATGGCCCGGGGGAATTCGAGGAAGAAGGGGAGGATGAGGTCTGAGAAGACGGAGGAGGAGGCCGGGGGGAAGGCGGAGAGAATGATAAGGGAATGGTAATGAGCGAAATCAAATGGACCAGCACTCGACACAACACAAATAGGAACAGCGGGATCATCCACACCTACAGGGAGCGCCGAACCATCGCCATCATCCTCGTTGTCCTCGCCGCGTGCCTTGTTGCGAGGCGGAGACGCCGTCAGAGCATCAGAACCTCCAGCGCCCCCACAAACCGTAACACCACCACTTGGAAAAGCGACAGGTCGGTGATCAGCGCCTTCCAAGGGGCAAGCGCGGATACCTCCATCTTCACGAGGGCGAGTACGGACCTCAGCAACAGCTTCACGTACGTCCGCGACTCCACGAAAGCCAGCAGCTCCACAAACGTCGGCAGCTCCACGGACTTCCACGGCTCCACGAACGTCAGTCGCCCCACGATCCTCAGCAGAACCACGGGGATGGAGAGCAGCCCCAACACCTTCACGAGCACGCAATCAACAGGAAAGCCGCAAACCTCCGCAGGGCCAGAAAGGTCAGCAGCGCCTCGAACGTCTTCACGAAGAATGCGAGCGTCAGCAGCTCCACGAGCGTCGGCAGCTCTACGAGCTTCCACGGCTCCACGAACGCCAAAGGCGCCACGATCGCCAAAGGCGCCACGATCGTCATCAACACCACGGGGAGGGAGGGCAGCCCCGGCACCTTCACGAAGACGAGCAGCTTCATCAATAAGACCAGCACTACCTCGGAGAGCAGCGCGGTCACCTGGAGGACCGTCGGCAGCAGGAAGGCCGCGAACAGCCAGGAAAATCAGCAGCATGTCGCCTGCGCAGAGAGTGCGATCACCAACAGCTCCACAAACGTCAGCAGCTCCGCGAATTCCCAGGGTTCCATGAACGTCAGAAGCTTCACGATCGTCAGCAACACCATGGGGAGGGAGGGCAGCCCCAGCGCCTCCACGAAGACGAGCGGCTGCGTCAGGAAGACCAGGCCAATCTCAGAGATCATCACAGACAACTTGAGCACCCCCAGCGACAAGAAAACCACCAAGCTCCGGCAGGCCAAAAAGATCAGCAGCACCTCGAACGTCTTCACGATAAACTCCGCCTCCAAGTTCGCCATCGCCGCTACGACCTTCAGGATCTCCAGAAACATGTAGAGCACGAGCACGAGCAGGAATAGCGTTCGAATTGCGCAGCTAAGGAATGCTTCGGCAGACTCTTCATGATGAGCGTAATACGTGAAAACAACCCTCTGGAGACCGATGGCCATGATCAACAACGCAAGCAACACCAAGAGACTGCAGCATCGATTGCGCCACCAATGTGGGTAACATGTTGATCGCACCCACTTCATCACCGAGAGGAAGAAGCACACAATGAACAAGCATGCGATCTCGATGCGTATTAATCCGCACCCGGCACCTTCTACAAAGAACAAGTTGCTCAACAATCCAGGAAAAGGCGAGCTGCGCTGATCATCAAGGGCAGATAATCAGAGTGGCAAGAACACTGCTGCGGCGGAACGAAACGGCGGGGCGGCGCAAGTGCACCGCGATGGCCCCTGACTCAGAAAATGCTTGAGCCAAAACGGCTATGATGATGCTGCTGATGACGATGATAAAGATGTTAATAAGGAGGAGGAAGTGGATGAGGAGGACGAGGAGGATGAGGAGGCCCAGACGTCGCTGGCCGCCGCCACCCGCCCGTTGGTGGCTATGTAGGTGGCGTGCACAGCGCCCTCAGCGCCAAGTGGTTGGCACAAGTCTTGCCGCGAAGGAACAATAAATCATCCAATCGCACTCCGGCTGGCGCTGGCTGCTGCCAGAGGCCCGTGAGAGCCAGCCGGACCACGCTCGGGGATAAAGCGTAGTGCGTGATGCAATCCTGCCCATCGAGCGACCGAAATGAGCACCTCGAAGGTACCCTGCTCGCGTCAGTTTTAGTCCATCCACCGAGGAAAGCTTGCAGACGCCGCCGAAACGCAGGGGGGCACAAGCTCCCTGATGCAGGCGATGGCAGCTTCCATTCGCTGCGCGCGATGTCGTGGTGAAGCGTGACGTTGCCATCCAGTCAAATGTACCCACATACGCCCGTCCAACTCTTGGTACGCGCGAAGCGCCACAGCGGAGACAAGCATGCTGCCGCCATGTTTCCAAACCACAGCCCGCTCCTGGATCTTCTTGAAGACGGCGTCATACACGAGAGGCCACCGGGAGGGACCCAAAAAGAAGCAGGAGGGCGAGGGAAAAGGAACGTGAAGAGGGACGGAGGAATGAGGGAGGGGATAATCATAGGGGGAGGACAAATTCGACGCAGAGAAAAAACAATAGACATTCGCGATGAAGAAACAACACATGGGATACGGACATATATTACCGACGATCTTTGAGGCTTGGCTTGGCTCCTTGTTGAAGCTGTTGCGACTCTTGCGGACCCACTTCACGATCGGCTTGCCCTGATCCGAAGCCTGCAGGAGGTCGCCAACAGCTCACCTGCACCTATCCAGACCATCAGACCCCTTGACAACAACACGACGGGCACCTGGGACGCTCCCAGATCGATCCGGCCCGACAGATCCCGCGTCAAGAGAAATTGGGTCGGGAACTCTTGCTGCGACTTCTGCCGCGACCTCGTATTTTTTTCCGAAGCGCAGGGCGTCCAGGGATCCTGGCCAGGCCCATCGCGGGTCAGGGGTCGGTGCATCTGCCGTCCTCGTGGCCCCGCCATGCGGGTGTGGGCGCAGGTCCTCGCCGAAGATTGGATTGGCCAGGATCGGTGCAAGTGTGCGAGTACGGTCTGCCCCCCTCCCCCCCACCGTCCTCCCCTGCGGCCTTGCTGATCCACCCAGCCTCGCCGTTCTGGGTGGTCACCCTGAGCGGCGCGCGGCGGCGGACGAAGACGACGACGACGACGACCACGGCGACGCGGGGCCCGCATCATAATGCTGCAGGGTTGGGGAAGCGACGGGAAGGAGAAGGAGGACGGAGGATGATGAGGAACGAGAAGGGAACATGAGAAGAGAGGAGAGGGAGGAAGGAAGGGAGTGATGATGACGGATGATGAGGAGGACGAGGATGAGGATGAAGAGGATGAGGAGGATGAGGAGGGGGGAGGAGGAGGGGGGAGGAGGATGAGGAGGACGAGGGAGAGACGAGACGAGACGAGACGAGCCGAGACAAGACAAGACATCGCAGTGAAGCTCTCCATCGATAGCGTTGCTGAATATTGGAGTTCTGTGCGCTGCTTTGACGGTTGGACCCCGCGCGAGAACGCAAGTGGCCCATCGGGCCCCGCCCGCGCGGCACCATGCCGGGCGGCGCCCCACGGTAGGCGCGCAGCCAATGGGGGGGCTCAGCTCAAGGAGGGGGAGGAGGAGGAGGAGGAGGAGGAGGAGGAGGAGGAGGAGGAGGAGGAGAGGAGGAGGAGGAGGAGGAGGAGGAGGAGGAGGAGAGGAGGAGGAGGAGGAGGAGGAAAAGGAGGAGGAGGAGGAACAGGAGGAGGGGGGTGAGGAGGAGGGCGGAGGGGCCCCCTGGCGCGGACAAGCCTCGACCCTCTCGGTCGAAGGTTCGGAAATGAGGGGGCGCAGCAGGAGGAGTGGTTGGGGCGGGTTGTCCAGGGTGCGAATTCGAGCCCTTGCCCGTTCCCTTCCCTCCGTCCCCACGACCACGACGACCACGACCCCTACCCCTCCTCTTGGGTGGCCCGCTGCGGTGGAACATTGCGGACAACTGTGGCGGGGCAGGGCGTGCATATGTCGAGACCTCCTCTTGTGGCGGCGGCACGGGACTGGTGCGGGGACGAACGAGGGGACTCGCCACACGCCGGCCCGGCAAGGGCCTGGGCGGCCGTGGTGGCATCGCGGCGATGCCGCCGTATCACTCGGGATCGGCTCGTGTGCCACACAGCGCGTCTGCAGCCAACTCTTCACGTGCAGCAGTTACTGCAGCATCGGGCAGGCAGGGTTCGAGGAACAATTCCACTCACTTGATCTGGCTGCCCGACCACCGCTGCGTCGGGCCCCCGGGGGCTGGTCCCGGGCCCTGCGCCGCTCCCCTCGGTGTTCCGGAGGCAATCCTGGAATCTCGGCCACGGTGCCATCGCGTGTAGCATGTCTGACACATTCACGTTGCTGGTCAGCCCACCCCTTTCGCTCCATCTGCTGGTTGTCGCCGTCCTCGATCGCCCGAGATTTTTCTTGCGCCTGCAGTTGAGCGCGGCGAGGCCGAGCCGAGTTGAGGCTTGCGTGTCCGCTGCCTGATGCCAGGGCTCCATGCATGCCTCGTGGCCCGCCGCGTGGGGAGAAGCGCTGTCTGCGGGCGAACGCCCGCTGGGCGATGAACGCGAACGGTGCGGCGTATAGGGCGGACCGTGGACCCTCCGATCGGTCTTCCCGCTTCCTTGCTCGCGCTCCCTCATGGCCCTGCCCTTCTCGTCGTGGTTCTGCTTGCCCTCGATGCGCGCCCGGCCTGGGCTGTCCGCGCCCTCGTCCACGAGCCAACTCCGATGGAGGTTGCTCTCCAGGGTCGCCGTCCGACGCTCGGTGCCCAGTGCGAGCCTTGCCGTGCCCTGCGTCAGCGCCCCTGAGCCGTCCTGCCTCTTCGTCTTCCGTGCCCCGTGCGCTCGGGCACCAGGCCGCTTCGCTGGGGGCGCCACCCAAGCCCGTGGAGGGAGCGCCGACTTGAATGCCGCCACATCTGCGAAAACCAACTCGAGCTGTCTTCGCTCTTTCTCTGGGAGGCTTGACGGGCACCGGCAGGTGTAGGAGAAGATGAATGCGAAGGTCATCATAAGTCTGCGCCACTGAACTCACCAAAGGACACGCGTTGCGAACTGGCTCGGCAAAGGGCTCGTTTGAAGCTGCACCACTTGGATCACAACTTCCCCTCAAGCTTGCGCTCTGAACGTGCCTGCTAGCCGTGGCCTGCGCGGCGTGCGTCCTGTTGTGCACGATGCGCGCGTTCGATGGTGCGAGTGCGTGTGCAGCTGTGCGAACGCGGTGCCTGTATCGAATATGTGCCGTGAGAGCTCCTCGAAGTGCGAACGAGGCCCCGCGCTCCGCCCTCTCATTGACGTGTGTGCATACGAATGGCCTGTCCACGAATGTGCCCTCCTCGTCGCCGCCGGCCTCCACGTCCTCCTCCTCGACTCCTGATGGGGCCATCTGGCGCGAGAAGACCGACGCCCGATGACCCGCGAAATCCAGGTTCAGGAGTTCTCTAATCATCTCCTCGTCCTGAAATGGCCTCGAGGGAGAGTGGGCCAGGGCGAGCAGCAGTTCATCGCGGTCTCGTGAAGCAGCCAAGGGGTAGCGTTTTTTCGTTGGGACCATGTCGAGGGGTCAGGGGTCGCAATCTTCGGTTTCGGAATCGAGGGGGTAGAGCAGGACGGTCCATATCAGCTTGTTTATCAATGGGTGTTGCGCCCGCGCATGACGTCGCGAGTCCGCGGGCGCGCGGCTCAACTGCGCTGGGGGCCGCGTGCAGAAAGCATGGACCTGCGAATTTGCGAGCTTGCGTCTGTGCCAAGGGCCCACCCAGGAGGCGCTTCCCCCTATAGCAGTGCGGCCCAGCTTGGCAACGTGCGCGTCCATCGCCTGATGTTGATGCTCGCCCAAGCAGGAGCACTCCATGGCCCACAGCATCGCGCTATGGACCCGAGACAGGAAGACCGCGCGCTTCCGCCGACGCGGGATCCGCAGCGACCGCGAGCCCCCCCGCCTGAAGCACGCCGAACTCGCAGCAGCAATGCGCCTCGAGCTCGTGCGACGTGGTCTGCATCGGCGAAGCAACTGGGCCGAGATGCCTGGAAACGTCCGCCGCTCCCGCCGCCTGTCCAGGTCGTCCAAGCCGCTGCTTTCCGGCGGATGCCTGAGGGCCGCAGAAGTGACGTAGAAATTCGTCACCTGCTCCTCCCTATTCTGCTTCATGCAACCCATCGCCAGAGCAACGTCCAAAATGTCATTCGCCTGCCGTGATTGCCCTGCGAGCTCTCGTGCCGTGCTGCCGACATGGTAGCGCAGAGTTCCGGGGCGGAGGAGGAGGAGGCCGAGGCGGAGGCGGAGGAGGAGGAGGAGGAGGAGGAGAAGACGGAGGAGGAGGAGGAGGAGAAAGCCGAGACAGAGGAGGAGGAGGAGGAGGAGGAGGAGGAGGACGCGGATGAGGAGGAGGAGGCGGAGGCGGAGGCGGGGGAGGAGGCTCCGCGCCGAGTGCGTCTTTGCCCGCGCTGCTCAGCGGTCGGAGGAGAGGACGGAGACTCAGGGGCAACGTCGTCGTCGTCGTCCTCGCTGTCCTCGCCGTCGTCGTCGTCGTCGTCGTCGTCGTCGTCGTCGTCGTCGTCGTGGTCGTGGTCGTGGTCGTGGTGGTGGTGGTGGTCGACGTCGTCGTCGTGCGGCACCGGGCCGCCTGATGCGGTTCGGCGTCTTGCCCACCTCGACGACCTCGAACGGGGTGCCCGCCCGCAACTCCGCCACCAGCGCGCTCTCGAACTCCTCCGACGCCTTCAGCTTCGTCACGGGGATCACCTGAGCGACGATCAAGAACGTGTCTTACGCGAGATGACGTAGCGACCTTACGCGGCGGCTAACGCGGGCCGCCACCGTGGCACGCCACATTGGACACGAGGGCGCTTGCGCGGGACGCCACGCGGGCAACTTAATTACGCGCCAGCGTCGGCGAAGACGACCCGGTTTTTCTACGTTGCCCACCTGATGGAGCAAAACCATAGGTTGAGCAGGGACCGACCGTCCCGGCTTTCCTATAGTCATACCACGAAGCAGTCTTAAAACCCAGAAATGTTCTAAGAACAAAAACAATGTTCTTAGAACACGAGCCCGATGTGATAGAACAAGACGATCTCAGCCAGAAGTGTTCTAAGAACGCTTCGTGGAAACCACAAAAGGTCCCTAGAACATGGCTTGGTGGGGCTTTCGGCGAGCCAGGACGCTTCGCCACTGCTTCAGCAGGGGGGGCCCGCTGAGGGGGAAAAAGCGTCGACGATCTGGGGGCTCGACGGCTCGAGGATTTTTTCCAAGCGCCCCCCTCGCTTCTGGGCAGCTCTCCAGCCCAGGGGCGCCTTCCAGCAGCTGGCGCCTCGCCGAGAGCGCCCACGGGTGCCCGGGGCCGCCCGGGGGAACGGCCGCCAGAGGCCGGAGCTCTGTCCCGATACCTAAAGAGCCCACGCGAGGGGGAACGCCTCAAGGGGGGACGAGGAGCATCGACCATGTGGAGGCAGAAAGCGTTTAGGTATTGCTTTTTGACAGGGATGGCTTTACGCTGGAGTAATGGGGGGAACACAAAAGGGGGGACGGCAGTAGGTGCCATAGTTGGTTTGCCTGAACTATTGCGCGCGAGCTATTGCACCAACTATTGCTGGGGGACACGAACTATTGCAAACCGCCTGAAGTATTGCGCGCGAAACAAGACAAAACAATACCCACGCGGAACTATTGCATCCACGCTGCGAACTATTGCATCCAAACACCAACTATTGCATGAACTATTGCGCCTACTCCCGTCCCCCCACTTGTGTTCCCCCCATTACTCCGGCTTAGAATGGTGGGGGTCGGGCCCTCATGGTGTCGGCATGGTTCTGGGCTGGACGCCGGCCGCGTGGGGGAGGGGGTGTGTATCAATAGGGAACAGCGAAAAACTCCTCAAGGACGCCTTAGGGGCGCTCGGGGGGGGAACATCGACCTGGACTCG